ATCAACAAATAGTTTACTGGGTAAATCAAACTAGTAAATTTGTATAATGGAATATTGTTGGCCCAGAAAAAATAAGAATTTTGATATATGGCACAATGTAAGTGAACCTCAAAAAATATGCTAACTGAAATGGTCCAGGACATAAAAAGACAAATATAGTATTATTCCCCTACATAACTGTAGGATAACACTGTTTTGTCCTTCCTCGGGTAGCTTAGGTTTATTGGGTCACACCCATCCCAGTGCTCCTGAGTCACTCCCATTTTGTTTATTTGTAACTACTTCTCTATGCTCTCTTCCCCAGTTAATCAGCTTATTCCCCTAATCATATTCTGTCTAGGACACTGAACTTGTATTAAAGTTAATATTGCCTTTCTCCTCTCCTTATGTCTTTAGAATAGTTTACCTTAAAGAAATGTCCTTTCTGTATGGACACAGGAAGACAGTTAGCATTATTCTTTGTAACTTGGAAGTTGATTGACTCCGAATAATATTTACTCCTGGGCATCTGCTTTCTTGACTTAGTTGCCCTTAGTTCCTAGCACCCCAAAAGCAGGGTCCCAACGAGGGACTGAATGGACCCAGGGCAAGCTGTGAGCTACCCTGGCATCAAAATGGGCCAGGCCAAAGCGCCACGATACTCAACTATAAGTTGAGGCCATGATCTTGGACAAATGCTGTCATGATCCAAAAGTAAGGAACGATGAGACTAGGACCCTACTGGGCTAGGAAGACTAACCTGGTCTGAAGGACTGCGGAATATATATGAGATGGCCTCAGGAAGAACCAAACTGTAAATTTATGTCCCTTACTGTGCTCATACAGAATGACATTGCTAGAAATATTAAAAGTAGATTTACTACAACTATCTAAGTAGATTACTAGCTGAGAAAAGAACACACCCTTATTGGGATCCCACCCTTGAGCAGATCTCCTAGTAATCTCTTTAGATGATACTTTATCTTGAGTTAATCCTTGAGGAGTGGTCTTACATTAATGTTCAACCCACCTTTGTGTCACCACCTTATGTGATTTCTATATAAACTAAGACTGTAGGCTGAGGCAGGAGAGAGACCCAAAGTCAGATCAAGAGGGGCTCAAGCTTGAGAGAGAGAGAGAGAGAACGATCATCCTGATCCAGGCCATACACAGCGGCTCAAGAGCACCGAACGCAGGCGGTGAGACAGCCGTCCAGAGAGCCCGTGAACACACAACCTTCAGCATGTATAGTTTTTTTTACATATAACATCTTAAAAAGATAAGTTAATGTAAACAAAAAGTAGATTAAAGGTTATCAAAAGGGGGAAAGGCAATGGGGAATTATTTCTTAATAGGTTATATTTAGTTAGACCTGGGAACACAGAGACTTTTACACAATGTAGGGCTAATGAGTCAAAGATACCCACACCATGGATAGACTGGGAGATACCATCCACGCGGGTCACAGACTGATGGGTATATGACAAAGTTTAGTGAAAGGATAATGGCTGTAATAGAGGGGCAAATAGGGGTTCATTATGTGCTGATCGTGAGACAGGAAGAGGAAGATGAATTCTGTGCTTACTGAGCTAATACAAAGGTAGAGCAAAGAGCTTTACAGATACCACAGGTGTCGGCTCCCCTTGCCTCAAGCCCTGGCTGCTGGCAATTGCAAGGCCATCAACCCGTACTAATCGTCACAGAATGCCGGTTCCCCCGATGGCAGCTCACCCTCCTTCAAGGCCGGTCCGTGGAGTTTGCCCACAAGCACCATGGTCCAGGTATTCAGGGAGCTGTGCCAGGAAGAGCTCCAACAGTGTCATGAAATTATGAAAGACAATAAGTATACAACACTCTGAACATAATCAACCACTAAATTGTGCATCTGAAATGGTATTTGGTAATTCATATATTTTTATTTTACCTGGGCGGGGCGGGGAGGGACGAGGAAATTATAAGGGCAATACCCAGGAAACTTGGCACATCCAAAACTTTGGGATCTGTTGGCATGGGAAGCAGTGCTGGCTCTCCCAGCAATGCTGGAGGCCACCAGGGTAACACCCAGTGGAATCAGGAATGCAATGCTCGGACCCAAATCAGAAACTTTCACATGATAGTCAGGTCTATACTAGTTGACCCACCCACTTCTTGTCTCAATAAAAATTATTTATGAATCTCCAATTGTGATTGTGAATTGCTTACATAATTCTATCTTGTTTCAAGTATTTCTGTCTTGTCTCAAATATTTTTAAAATACTGTTGTTGAGTTCAGGCTGGAGTGATAGCACAGTGGGTAGGGCGTTTGTCTTGCATGCAGCGGACCCAGCCAACCCAGGTTCGATTCCTCCGCCCCTCTTGGAGAGCCCGGCAAACTACTGAGAGTATCTCCCAGCACGGCAAAGCCAGACAAGCTACCCATGTATTCCAAATGCCAAACACAGTAACAAGTCTCACAATGGAGACATTACTGAGCCCGCTGGAGCAAATCAATGAACAACGGGAGGACAGTGCTACAGTGCAGTTGTTAAGTTCATAGACATTTGACACTTTCTATACTATTTCTATACTATTTGACACTTTCCATACTCTTTATATACTATTTTTATCAAAATTTATTTTAGTTCATCTTGATACTTATAGTCTACTGCCATTTGGAATGGCAGCCAATTCCTGTTTGCCTTCAATTTCACTATTTTAAGTACAATTAATTATCACTGTATACTGGTAAAGAGCATATATTTAGGTTTTTCATCTATTTTGGTAGCATCTTTCATGGAGAGTCTGATCAGCCTATTATGAATTGGTTAGTCTGATGTCACTGTGGTTTAGTTTTAGTCTACCATTTTATTTTATTTTTTTATGTAGAAGTACTGCTATTTATTCAGCCACTGCTTAGCTGATTAAATTGCCATGAACTCCATCTTACTTTTTTTCATAATTTTATTTATCTATTATTTTTTCTTCTTATATTTATTTATTGAATCACTGTGGGAAAAGTTACTAAGCTTTCAGGTTTAAGTCTCGATCACACAATGATCAAACACCTCTCCCTTCACCAGTACTCATTTTTCACCACCAAGAACCCCAATATACCTTCCTCCCACCCCTCCCAATGCCTGTGAGGCAGATGATTTCCACTTAACTATTCTCTACATTGATTACATTCATTATTTCCACAAAAGATGCACCATTATTGTTTAGAATTTACCCCCAACAATCAGAATTGCTGAAAAGGCACTGTGAAATACTTTGCTTTCTATAGCTGGTTATGAGAATCATATAATCTCACATGACTGCCTCTGGAGCCATGGCTGTACCGTGGGGGGCAACTCGTGATCTCAGTGGAGCATGAAGGACGAGCTGGTACTGTCCCCCTTCCCATGAGACTGCAGTTGCCCAGTCACCCCTGGCTCATACCTGGCTTTCCAAGAAGCACTGAGGTGGCAGCCACCTTGTATGCGGTCCAGATGCATTTCTGCCAAAAGCCGCTGGGTTTCGAGATTTGTTTCTGAGTCTCTGGGATCATGGCAGTTAATTAGCTTGATCAGGATCCAGAGAGGCCGTTTGTAGGCGGTGATTTGGGGTCTTGGTGGGATGGGAGGAAAGGGCTGGTTCCACTCCCATCTGGTGAGGCCTCGCGTGTCTCATCACTGCAGGCCCAAACCTGACTGTCCAGTGACCTCTGGAAGATGGTGGTCACCGGGCCACCAAGGGGAACAGGCCAAGGCATGAAACCCATTCCCACCTGGAGTGGCCCAGGGCCAGTAACCTACTGCAGGAACAGGATGCATTTCTGCCAAAAGCCTTTGGGTTCTGAGATTCGTTTCTGAGTCTCTGGGATCATGGCCATTAAGCAGTTCGATCAGGAACCAGAGAGGCCATGCCTCCAATTATATAGTTGAGCCGGAGGTGGTTTGTGGGTGTGTCTCCCACATACCTAACTATTGGCCGTTTACTTTCTTGGTAAACTTTGCCCCAAGTTTTTGGGGTCTGGCCAAAGGCACAGCAGCAATTTTGGGGTATCTGAAAGCCTAACCGTGCCATCAGTCTGCTGATGCACTCGCTTCACGGGTACAAACTGAGCTGCTGGCAGCACCATTCCCTCCCCCATTATATTTTTGTTTTCTAGATTATTTCTTGATTGTAATAGTAAGTATGATTATAACTAATCTGTGTTATTTTTGTTTCTGTGGTCTTTAGTTTCTGCCTTTGGGAAGAATTATTTAAATGTTTGTATAATTCTATTTTAATTTTTTTCAAGGCAATTCCCAATTCCAAACTTCATCTATTTATTTTTATTTTATTTATGTGCTATAAATTAGTACATCCTCTTTATTCCAAGTTGTAATTACATTTTCTTGAGACCCGATGTAACAGACAATCCCCATTCCTTAGTTTTCTCTTCAACTTCTTTCTTCTTTAATTTTTCATCTCATAATTTTTTCTTTGGAAAGAATTTTTTCTTCTCCTTCTATTCTTCTTTCTTCTATACCTTCCTCTGGGTTGTAACTTAAATTCTGTTCTGTAACACATGACTTGAGTTCATGTATTCACAGTCAATAAAAGAGATACACTCATATCTTTAAGGAACTATCATTTCACTGATGCTTCTTTTGTACCAGTTTAGCTTTAGTCTGTATGGCCCTAAGGCTCAGGTACACAATTCGCTCTCTCATATTCTCAAGTTGCTACAGAATTTCTTCTGTGTTAAACATTACATTAGTACAGTGAATGCAGAGGCCATTGCAAGTGTAGGCTCTTTGACATGGTGTCACTAGTGCCAAAGGCCTCCTGGTACTTGACTGGACATTTTGGTATTGATGAATGTTTGGGTGTTCATTTTATAAGCAAGAAGTATTACTTTTGAGGGGAGTATTATTGGTGGCTTAGCTCTCGAATTTTCCAGCTTTCTCACACAAAGACCACCTGTAATACTGCCTCTAAGTTTCAAAGGTTTTCTGAAGTTGTTACCTAAAATTATTATTGTCCCCCAAATTCTAACCCGACTCTTTGTTTCTCAGGCTTGGGAGAAAGTTTGTTCTCAGATGCTGTTTACTTACGTTTTCCCTCTGTGGAATCGGTGCTGCCTTTGCTCCCAACTTCATCATTTACTGCTCACTGCGCTTCTTGATGGGCTGTACAGCTACATCCATCATAATAAATAGCTCCATGCTCGGTAAGTCAATCATCTTGATTTTCTGTGTGTTCACATATTTGAATTTAACCATCAATTCTCACCTTTATCTGACATTAATATCCACTCCCCCACCCTTAACCCTCTTGTTTGCTGTTGTTGTTGTTGTTTCAGTTACAGAATGGTCAAGACCCCAATCAAAACCCTTGGCAGTATTAGTACTGTCCTGTGCCTTTAGTAGTGGAAATATCCTCCTAGGAGGACTGGCCTATGTTTTTCAAGAATGGCGCACTCTGATGCTCACATTGTGTGTGCCTCACTTAGTCTTCTTCCTCACCTCAAGGTATGTGCTTCTCTCTCACTTTGTCTTATGGGAACCTGACAATAAACTGAATAATGGATTGGGATTTATTTATTTCCCTTTTCCCTGAACGTTTTCTTATCATAGGACCTAACACCCATGTCCCTCATTGTTTCCTTCTGTGCAGCTTTGAGAAAAGGCTCAAAGAATAGCATTGACCCTTCTGCTTCACAGTATTATTCATTTCCTGTCATTTTTCTCCTTCTCTTTTCCCATAATAATAGCAATAGACTTATTATTATAATATTGTTTTCCTTAATAAAAATGTAGCACTGTAGCACTGTCCTCCTGTTGTTCATCAATTTGCTCGAGTGGGCACCAGTAATGTCTCCATTTGTCTCAGCCCCTTAGATTTTAGCAGTCTCTCTTTACTTGTCCTTCCCAACGGTGTCATATTGGAGGCTCTTTCAGGGTCAGGGGAATGAGACCCGTTATTGTTACCGTTTTTGGCGCATCGAATATGACACGGGAAGCTTGCCAGGCCCTGCTATGTGGGCAGGATACTCGGTAGCTTGTTAGGCTCTCCGAGAGGGACGGAGAATGTATATAAGACAATACAAGCAAGTATATTAAAACCAGACACATGTGTGCTGCTTTAGGTATGTCAGTGAGCTAGACTATAAGAGGTCGCACGGCTGGCACTTCCAGGAGCTTTGTTTTACAGTCTCTGGATTGTGGTCATTGATGGGTTTACATGGCGTTGGAGGCAGTTTGTGGGTGTGACTGCCAAGCTACTGGAAAATGGGGGATCTGGGTGGAGGAGGCCCAGCCCTGATCTGAACATGTTTGGAGATCTCAGCCGCATGTCCCGCATACCTGGGATCCTCTGCCGGTTCCTTCATGCATGAGGCTCGTCCAAGTGTGTGGAGGGTGGCCTTGAGCATGACTGTGGCTGAATTCTGAAGGTTTTCAGATTCTGCTTCATTTATCCAGTGTCAAAAAAATTGAGGATGTAGGAGCAGGAGTAATAGTATAGTAGGTAGGGCACTGATCTTACACATGGCCAACCAGAGTTTGGTTTCTGATACCCCTGAGCCCACCAAGAGTGATAAGAGTGATCCCTGAGTGTAGGAGTGATCTTAGAACATTCTGCCTATATTTTCTGCATATATTTTATAGATTCTAGTCTAAGTTCAAGATATTTGACCTGCTTTGAATTAACATTTGTGTAAGGTGTGATATGTGTATCCAGTTTTATTTTTTTTACACATAGTTATCAAATTTTGACAACATCATTTGTTGAAGAGGCTACCTTTACTCCATTTCATGCTCTCAACTCCTTTGTCAAATATTAGCTGGCTGTACATGTGGGGAGTTGTCCTTGGATAGTCTATTCTGACCCATTGATCTATCCTTATTCCCATACCATGCTGTTTTGATCATTATGACCTTATAGTACAGTTTCAAGGTAAGTAATAAGATACAGTACATACCTCTCCCACCAATTTCTTATTTTTCAGAATGGTTTTCTTACTTTACAGTTCTGGGTCTTTTATGATTTCATACAAAATTTATTATAGACTTTTCTAAGTCTTTGAAGAATTTTGTCTGATTTTAGATAAGGATTGAATTGAATCTACACAGTAGCTTAGGTAAGACAGTCATTTTGATAATATTTATTCTTCCGGTCCAAGAAAATGAAATATTTTTCCATTAAGGTCTTCTATTTCCTTCTTTAGTGTTTTTGAAGTCATCATGCTATAGATCTCCTGTTGATCCTGAAAATCTTCCAAAATATCAAATAAACAAGAATCCTTCCAAACACCTTCTATGAAGCCAATATAACACTGATACCCAAAGCAGACATTCCTTAACCAATATGTAATGTCCAACCTTAGTTTTGACTTTATTCTTTACCTTAAAAAATATTCAGTTTGGTACAAATGTGACTGTTTTCATCCCTAAGGTCTACAGTTAGCCAATATGATTTTTTCCAATCTTTCACTCTGTGCTGGTGTTTATCCATGAGAAGTCAAATGTGTTTCTTGAAGACAGCAAAAAGCTAGATTTTAAACTTTGTTTCCTGAACTGTCCAGTCTCTTTGTGACTTTTGTTAGGGAAAGTCAGTCCATTAACATTTAGAGTAAGTATTGATATAACAGGAATTGTTATTTTTATATGAAGATTTTGGTTGTTTTGCTGTTTTCCTTTTTTATAGGAGACCATTCTGTATTCCTTGCAGAGTTAGTTTAGATGCAGCAAATATCCTCAACTGCTGTTTGTTGGAAAATATTTTATCAGTTCCTCAGATCTAAGCAATGTCCTTGAGTGATTGCAAATTCTTGGGTGCATATTCTTTTCATTCAATACTTAGAATATATCATTCCTGTTTCTTTATGCTAATAGTTTCATTGAGAAATCTGATGTGAACTTCTGATTTTTTCTTTTGTTTTGAAACTTTGTTTCTCCTACCTCACTTTAAGGAATCTAACTCTGTCTTTGGTTCTTGCCATTTGATTACAAATAGCATTTGTCATTCTTCCGTTTAGATTTATTTTGTTTGGCACTCTTATGGCTCCTGGAATTGTGCACAAGTCTTCTCCTCAAACTGGGAAAGTTCTCAGCTATTTTCTCCTCTGTCAATCATTTTTTCTTTCTCTCCCTTGGAAATTCTGATGATGTATAAGTTGTTCCTCTTCCTATCGTCAATTAAAATCTTAAATCTTGGTTATTTTAATGACCTCTTCTTTATTGATAATGAATACCTTGTCTTCAGGGTTGCTAATTCAAATTACTAATTCAATTTCAACTTTTTCCATTCTGCTGCTGAATGGGTAGTCCTGCTGTTCTATTCTTTAGTTGCTTCAATTCTGCTTCAATAAATTCTTTAATTTTTCTTTAGCCTTCTTGAATCTCTCTTCAAATCTTTCCTGGGTTAATTAAACATTAAAAAAGAGTGTTTCTCTGTCATTCTCAGGCAGCATCAAGAAGTCTCATGTACTTGAGGACTTTCCTGGACTTCTGTTCCTATCTCTTAATCTAACTAAATTCCTTCATTTTTATGCGTATTTTACTGGTATTTCATGGGAACTAAAGGTGGAATTCCAGGGGCCGGAGTGATAGTACAGCAAGTAGGCCATTTGCCTTACACGCGGCCAACCCAGGTTCAGTCCCCAGCATCCCAGATGGTCCCCCAAGCACCATTAGGGGTAATTCCTGAGTGCAGAGCCAGAAGTAACCCAAGAAGCATTGCTGGGTGTGACCCAAAAAGCAAAAAAACAGGTTGAATTCCAAGTTCCAGTTGTTCTGAGAAGATATTTGGGTTTCCTTTTCACAAATGGTGGCTTTTGCTTGTGATGTTATGAATTTATGGTGGCCACTAATGCCCTATGATGATTTCTCAAATGTTTGCAAGATTAATCTTGTGCCTGTGGCTCTGATTTATATGCACCTGGTTGACAATTTAATTTGTGACCCCCAAGTCCAGGAGCTGCTTTAGCACCAAAGTCTAGCTGGCCTGAGCTCTGACCCATTGTTTATTCTTACGGGTATCTGGCAGTTGAAGTGGTTTAACAATCCAACGGACCTTGTCAGTGATTAGAGATTGTTATTACATGTACTCAATCAAAGATATTCAGCAAGCTGAACTTTGCATCTATGGAGGGATTTTTTTTATCAAAGCACCGTGAATTACAAAGTTATTCATAGTTGAGTTTTGAACATCAAGTATTCCAGTAATAATCCTACTTCCTGTGTCAACTTCCCTCTGTCAGTGTTTCCCCCCGCCTTTATCTTGACCATTTTAAGTTTGTTAAAGTTTGGGTCTTTCAAAGTTGTTGACTCTGTGATTTAGATTTTTGGCTATACCACTCCCACCACAGTCGATGTACCTGAGACCCATTAATCTTTCTCCCCCATTGCTTCTCATCTGTCTCTTCTTCCCCTTTCCCACCTAATCCCCACTGCCTCAATTTCTTTCTCCTGAGGAAGGCTTTGGTTTTTTTTGTTTTTGTTTTTGGAGGGTTTTTTTTTTTTTTTTGGCTTTTTTAGTCACATCCAGTGATGCCCAGGCATTATTCCTGGCTCTTGACTCAGGAATTATTCCTCATGGTGTTAAAGGAATCATATGGGATGCAAGGGCTTGAACCCAGGTCGGCCAAAAGGCAATGCCCTACCTGCTGTACTATCTCTCCGGCCTCTTACAGAGGTATTTTTTTTTAATTTGTTGGCACCTGTTTCAGGATCACCACCTCATGGGTGGGGGCTCATTAGGGTGTCTACTACCTGTTGAACATTAGAGATGGCAGCTGTATCAGAAATAGATTGGGAATTGCAGTATATATATATAACACGGACTGGAGCAATAGCACAGTGGGTAGGGTGTTTGCCTTGCACTTTGCAAGGCAGGTTCAATTCCTCCACCTCTCTCAGAGAGCCTGACAAGCTACCAAGAGTATCTCACCCGCAGGGCGAAGCCTGGCAAGCTATCTATGACGTATTTGATATGCCAACCACAGTAACAAGTGTCACAATGGAGATGTTACTGGGCCCGCTTGAGCAAATCAATAAACAATGGGTGGACAGTGACAGTGACAGTGATATATAACACAGACACAATACTACAGTTGTCTCCTGGCCACAGGTAGGAGAAGACTGAGAAAGCAACTGGGTGCTGCACCTCAGACAGAAATCCTACCCGGTGTGACTTATCTTGGTTTTGTAGTTGGCGAAGGACAGGCAGGCATTGCGAATACTTTTCCAGGCTTCTGCTGCATCTACCAGGACTGCTGTTCTTCTCGCTTTGAGGTCTTCCTTTATTGCTTCTCTGCACTGCTCCCAGCCAGGTGTGACACACACACACACAAAAAAAGCAAGTTTAATAATAATAATAATAATAATGTGCTATAACTCCAAAGTCTGTATTTCTAACCATGAGTTTCTCTTCCCAACCCAATAGAGGGAAGATAAGAGATGGATGGGGGGAAACATCTGTAGTCATTGATCAATGGTGAGTACCCAGAGAGCTGACTCCACTTTTATGCTGTCTTTCAACAGATGGATAATAGAATCTGCTCGGTGGCTGATTATCACCAATAAACCAGATAAAGGCTTAAAAGCACTTAAAAGAGTAGCACGTATAAATGGTCTGAAGAATGCTGGGGAAACTCTGAACATAGAGGTGAGCAGGAAAGCAAATGCAGTTCCTGGGACTGGAGCAATAGTACATCAGGGACACAGACTGTCTCATCCGGGGCAACCCGGGGGGGTGGGGGAGAGGCAGGTGAGTTCCCCTCCCCACCCCAACAGATGCCCAGCAGCCAAAAACTTCCAGAACTCAATCGCCACCATGCTCACAGCTGATCTTCATAGGCTCGGAGGGGCCTCATTCATGAGTGAATCTGCTGGAAAACCCAGGTATGTAGAACTTGTGACTGAAATCTCCAGGCTCACATGGAGTCAGGAATGGGCAACCTCACCTCATCTCTCTGTTCTTCCGGGAGCTGGCAGTCACGCCCATGTACTGTCTCTGGCACCATATAAACTCAGTAACATTCATGATCCACTACCTCCACTACCTCCACTTCCCAGCCACCGCCATGCTCCAGGACGCTTTCTGGACCCTAGGGCCGAGATAACACACAAGAGAAGCCCCACAGAACAAGATAAGTGGAACTCTGAGACCTTGGACTCCAGGCTCAATAGACCCGGGGACAGAGATCCTCTGCCTTCTCCCACCATCCACAGGTGACAAAGGGTTTACAACATATCATAAGACACTTAATACCAATCTTCCGGGATTGCTGCACCATATTTGATAGGGTTCAAATATGGTTTTAACCATGGGAACACCTACAAGGGTGATTAGAGGCAGCTCCAAAAGCATCTACTCTTGGTAGCTTGCCAGGCTTTCCGAGAGTATCCCGCCACATGGCAGAGCCTGGCAAGCTATCTGTGGCGTATTCGATATGTCAAAACCAGTAAATACAATGTGTCTCATTCCCCTGACCATGAAGGAGCCACCAATATGGCAACATTGAAAAGGATGGGAAGGAGAGGCTGACAAAATCTCAAGGTCGAACTAGGCTGCCAAAATGAAGAAAGACAAAAATGACTGTCTATACTTTCAATGCATGTATGCTGGCATCAGATGCATCCAGCAAGGACCTGATAGTACAAGCGCAAAAGATCAAGTACAACATCATTGGTCTGACCGAGAAAAGAAGGCATCAATCACATCACGCCGTTTTTGACAATGGAGAAGAACTGTTCCTCAGAACATGCGACATAAGAGTCATCGGTGGTGTCGGTGTCCTTGTCAACACGAACTTGGCCGTGAGCATTAATTCATTCGAATGCCAAATAACCCGAACTGGACGATTACACTTGAATAGATGTGGCTCACTGCGGGCAGTTTCTATCTTCGTTGTCTACGCACCAACATCCAATTATGATGAAGGATAAATTGAGAAGTTCTACATGGAGCTGGAGAAGTTCTATAAAGAAGACCACATCTTCTACAAGATCATTGTCAGTGAGTCTAATACCATGGTAGGACCAAGTAGATCAGCTGAAGAACTCCATACTGGGACCCATGACCTAGAATGGAACGAACAGGGTGAGAGACTGTCTGAGTTCATCATGTCGACCAAGACCATCCATGGTAACTCACAGTTCCAGAAGGCCGAATCTAAACATTGGACATGGGAGTGTCCCGGTAGATGGAACCACAACAAAATTGACCACATCATATTCAATCGACGGTTTTGCCTGACCGTGGTTGATGTTGTCCCAAAATTCCAAACGGGATCGAACCACCATCTCCTTCATGAAAAATTCTACTTCATAGAGCAGGGAGAAAGGGCTGCAAAGTTTAAGAAGAGAACTCCCAGAACGACCACCAACTGGGAGCTCTTTGGCACTATTGCTGCAACATGGGAAGATGCTGTCGTTGACAACATTGACGAGGAATACGATCAACTGGTTCAGCACCTCCATGATTGTGCATGGAAAGCCAAGAGAGAGATAGTCACAAAAAACCTCTTGTCTTCAAAAGCTCTTGAGCTTACTCACCAATGTGGCTTGGCGCAAGCCTCAGGCAACCACAAGCGAACATCCGAGCTTGAAAAGCAGTGCAGAGAAGAAATAAAGGAAGACCTCAAAGAGAGAAGAGCAGCAGTCCTGGTAGATGCAGCAGAAGTCTGGAAAAGTATTCACAATTCCTGCCTGTCCTTCGTAACTACAAAACCAAGATGACTGCCCTCCAACGTCCTGATGGATCTATCACATCTTCCAGAAGGGCAATGGAGAAGATTATCCATGACTTCTACTCAATCTCTTTGATAGCCACGTCCACCTGCCCACATACCAAATTCCGCAGGATGGATAGGTCATTCCCAATGATCTCCCTTCTGAAATCCAAGACTCCATTTCATCGGTAAAGAAACGAATAGCACCTGACCCAAACAAGGTCAGACCTGAACATCTGAAGAACCTGCCATCAGTACTCATCAATACACTGGCTCAGCTCTTCACATGCTACCTGTCTGAATGCAAGTTTCCATCCCAGTGGAAAACCAGTAGGACTGTACTACTGTACAAGAAGAGAGACATCCATGATATTGGCAACTATCACCCGATCTGCCTATTGTCTGTCATCTACAAGCTGTTCACTCGAGTCATCCTGAATAGAATTGGCAGAACACTAGATGAAGACCAATCATGCGAGCAAGCGGGGTTCTGCAAAGGATTCAGCCCAATCGACCATATCCACATGATAACCAAGCTCATTGAAGATTCTCGGGAGTTCAAGATGCCACTCTGTCTAACGTTCTTTGATTTAAAGAAGGTCTTTGATTCTGTTGAGACGAAAGCCGTCATCGAAGCCCTAGCCAATCAGAGCATTCAAACTCAATACATCAGGATCCTCCATGAGCTGTATTACGGATTCACTACCAGGATCTCACCATTCTGCAAAGAAGTGATCATCCATGTCAAGAGAGGGGTTCGGCAGGGTGATACCATTTTACTGAAACTCTTCAGTGCCATCTTCGAGAATGTCATGCAACGACTGAAATGGGAAGGAATGGAAGTGAAGATAGACGGTCGGCAATGACACCACCTCCGCTTTGCTGATGACATTATTCTAATAACACCAAACATTAGCCAAGCGGTACAAATGCTGGCCAACTTCGACTGTGAGTGTGGAAAGTTTGGACTCCAGCTGAATCTCACGAAGACAATGTTTATGAGAAACAGTCTCGTTCCTGACGTTCCATTTGCTCTCAACGGGACAACCATCTCTGAATGCAACAGTTATGTGTACCTAGGTCGAGAAGTCAACATGACGAATGACCTGGCACCTGAGTTGAGCAGGAGGAAGAGAGCACCTTGGAACACCTTAAAGAGTGTTGAAGAAATAGCTAAGAGGACGAAGAACATCCAGCTCTGGGCACATCTCTTCAATTCCACTGTTCTTCCTGCATTAACATACGCCTCAGAGACCTGGGCCTTACGAAAGCAGGGTGAGAATGCTCTTCAGGTCTCCCAAAGAGGAATCAAAAGACCTATGCTTGGAGTATCACGCTTCACTCAAATGAGAGAAAGAATCCGGAGTTCCGACCTCCATCAACGGTCAAGAATCAGGGACGTTGTCTTGTTTGCCAAGGCGTCGAAAATCAGATGGGCTGGACGTAATGAGATTTGGAGACTACCACTGGACTAGAGCCGTTAGACTGGATTCCACAGGACGTCAAAAGACCACTTGGTCACCTACCACAAGATGGTCAGACTTCTTCATGAAGACCCTGAACGACCAGTTTGAAGCTATTTGTGCTCCTAGAATGAGCAGATGCCATTGGGCTACACTAGCATGCAACTAGGATGAAAAGAGACGTTACTGGTGCCCGCTTGAGCAAATCAATGAGTTACAGGATGTCAAGTGATCAAGAGAACAGCCGTGATCCAGAGATTCACAAATAAATCTCTAGGAAGAGAGCAACACAGCAACACACTGCAGAGATGCTCCAGACCCCAAAACCACCATCCAGTCAAAAAAAAAAAAAAACTAACTTCAGCTGTATAACCGTATTTAAAATTTTTGAATTCCTGGGGGTATGGTGCTGCCAGCAGGTCAATCTGTACCTGTGAGTCGAGTGCATCAGCAGCCTCATGGTGCCTTCAGACTTCCAAATACCTCAAAATTGCTGCTGTGCCTTTGACCAGACCCCAAAAACTTGGGACAAAGTTTACCAAGAAAGTAAACGGCCAAAAGTTAGGTATGTGGGAGCCACACCCACAAACCATCTCAAGCTCAGCTATATACTTGGAGACAAGGCCTCTCTGGTCCCTGATCAAACTGCTTAACAGCCATGATCCCAGAGACTCAGAAACAAATCTCGAAACCCAGCAGCTTTTGGCAGAAATGCGTGTGGGCCACGCAGTAGGTTACTGTTGCTGGGCCACCCCAGGGGGGAAAGGGTGTTGTCCCTTTGTCCCTCCGCCTGCTCTCCATAGGCGGCTCAGTGATCACCATCCACCAGAGGCCATTGGATAGTCAGGTTTGGGCCCGCGGTGCCGAGACATGTGGGGCCTCACGGGATGGGGGTGGTGCCAGCCCTTTCCCCTTTCCTCCCTGTCCCAACGAGACCCTGAGTTGCCACCCACGAACTGCCTCTCTGGCTCTGATCAAGCTACTTATCAGCCATGATCCCAGAGTCTCAGAAACAAATCTCAAAACCCAATGGCTTTTGGCAGAAATGCGTCCAGTCCCTGCAGTAGGTTACCAGCTCTGGGCCACCCCAGATGAGAATAGGTTTTGTGCCTTGGCCTGCGCCCCCTTGGCAGCTCGGTGGCCACCATCCACCAAAGGCCATTGGACAGGCAGGTTTGGGCCCACAGTGATGGACACATGGGGCCTCATGGATGGGGGTGGAGCAGGCCCTTTCCTACCCACCCCAACAAGACCACAAGTTGCCGCCCATGAACAGCCTCTCTGGCTCCTGATCAAGCTGCTTAATGGCCATGATCCCAGAGACTCAGGAACAAATCTCGGAACCCAGATTTGTATTCAACACCATATTCTACACCACTGATGTACCAAGAGTGGCATACCACATTTGATGGGGTGTAAGGTAGAAAGTAACCAATATTGGGGAGAAAAGAATATTTATGTTTGTATGTGTGTGCATATATATATATATATATATATATATATATATATATATATATTGCTCAACCTTTAACAACATGTTAATAATCTCTTCTATAAGGGCTTAATGTCTCCAACAATCTTCACACACTTTCCTCTAAGAAACCTTTTCTGGATCATTTTAATGGATTATACATAACAAGCAATACAAAATAATTTAGGTCCTGCTTTGGGGGCAGGGTTTGAGGGTCTGGGTGGAAACATTTGAAATATGGTGATGGGAAGGTGTAATGATGGTGGGACTGGTTCTGGAATATGTAACAAATTATTGTGAACAACTTTCATGATCACGATCATGATCATCCTGTTGTTCGTCGATTGCCTCGAGCAGGCACCTGTAACGTCTCCTTCGCCCTAGCCCTGAGATTTTAAAAAGTGCCATATTCAAGGCTCTTTAAGGGTTAAGAGAATGAGACCCATCATTGTTACTGGTATTTGGCATATTGGGTACACCACAGGGAGTTTGCCAGACTCTGCCATGTGGGCAGGTTACATTCGGTAGCCTGCCAGGTTGTCCAAAGTAAGAATGAGATAATAAGATGTTATTATCTTATAATGTTATTAATAAGAATGAGATAATAAGCTTCCGGAAGCTGGGTTTTATAGTCTCTGGGTCTTGGCCATTGATGGGATTACACGGTGCCAGGGGACAGTAGGTGGGTGTGACCCCTGCCTACTGGAAGATGGAGGATCTGGGTGGAGGATGCTCATCCCCGATCTGAGCAGGCTTGGAGACCTCAGCCCCAGGATCCACATGCCTTTGTTCCTCTGCCGGTACCTTCATGCGTGTAGAGAGTGGTCTCAGCATGGTTGTGGCTAGTTCTGGAGGTCTTCAGCTGCCGGGGCTCTGCTCGGGGTGGGCAAGGAAACTCAACCCAACCCCCTCCAAGGGTCCCCAGCGAGGACAGCCAGGCAGGAGGGTAGGAGACTCTGCGCTGTTCTCTTCCGGGAGCTGGGTTTTATAGTTTCTGGGTCTTGGCCGTTGATGGGATTACATGGCTCTAGGGGGCAGTTGGTGGCCTGGCGCTGTGTAATAATAAATTATTGTGAACAACTTTATAAAAATTAAATAAAATTTAAAAAATAGTACAGGAGGGAGGGTGATTTTCTTGCTCACAGCTGACCCAGGTTCAACCCCTGGCATCCCACATGGTTCCCCTGAATACCACCAGGAGTAATTCCTGAATGCAGAACCAGAAGTTACCACTAAACATCACTGGGTATGACAAAAACTGAACAACCAAAAAGCAAACAAACAAAAAAGGCAATCCTGGTTTGGAGAGAAGATATAAACTGACATCTGCCTTCCCTTCATTGAGATAGACAAGCTACTTTTTTTTCCCTTTATTTTATTTTTTTTTCAGTTGTAGATTTACAATTTTTTGTGCTTTGGTTTCAATTATACAATGATCAGATACCCATCCAACCACCAGTGCCCATTTTCCACCACCATGGATAATATCCCCCCCACCCCCACCCCCCCATCCCCCCCCCCGCCTCTGTGGCAGGGCAATCCCCTGTGATCTCTCTCTCCTTTTGGGTGTTGTGGTCTGCAAAAGAGGAATTGAGTGGCAAACATGTTCAGTCCATAGTCTACTTTCGACATGCATCTCCCCTCCTGGGAGGATCCTCCAAACATCCTTTATTTGGTGCTCCCTTCTCTATCTGAACTGCCCTTTCCTCTAGGATACCCGGCTGGCCTCTAAGTTATGGAGTAATCCTCCTGGTGCTGATCTCAGCTATTCTTGGGTATTAATCTCATACTTTGTTACTTTATATCCCCCAGATGAATGCAATCTTTCTATGTCTATCCCTCTCTTTCTGACTCATTTCGCTTAGCATGATACTTTCCATATTGTACCACTTGTATGTAAATTTCATGACTTCATTTTTTCTAACTGCTACATAGTACTCCATTGTGTAGATGTACCAAAGTTTCTTTAACCAGTCATCTGTTCGTGGGCATTCAGGTTTCTTCCAGTTTCTGGCTATTGTAAAGAGTGCTGCAATGAACAAACAAGTGCAGATGTCACTTCGACTATACATTTTTGCCTCTCTGGGATATATTCCCAGGAGTGGTATTGCTGGGTCAAATGGGAGCTCAATTTCTAATTTTTTGAGAATCGTCCATATTGTTTTCCAGAAGGGCTGAACCAGTGGACATTCCCACCAACAGTGAAGGAGGGTCCCTTTCTCGCCACATCCACGCCAGCATCGGTTGCTTTTGTTCTTTTGAATGTGGGCCAGTCTCTGAGGTGTGAGATGGTATCTCATTGTGGTTTTGATCTGCATCTCCCTGATGATTAATGATGTAGAGCATTTTCTCATGTGCTTTTTTGCCATTCGGATTTCTTCTTTGAGAAAGTTTCTGTTCATTTCATTGCCCCATTTTTGGATGGGGTTGGATGTTTTCTTCTTGTGGAGTTTAACCAGTATTTTGTATATCCTGGATATCAACCCCTTGTCAGATGTGTATTTGGTGAATATCCTTTCCCATTCTGTAGACTGTCTTTGTATTTTGGTCACTGCTTCTTTGGAGGTGCAGAAGCTTCTTAGTTTAAGATAGTCCCATTTATCTAATCTCTGTTTTCACTTGCTCGGCCAGTGGCGTGGCATCTTTGAAGATACCATTAGCTTCAATGTCATGGAGGGTTTTGCCAACTTTATCTTCAATGTACCTTATGGTTTCTGGTCTGATGTTGAGGTCTTTAGTCCATTTTGATCTTACTTTTGTACATGGTGTTAGGCAGAGTTCTAAGCCTATTTTTTTGCATGTAGCCGTCCAGTGATGCCAACACAATTTATTAAAGAGGCTTTCCTTACTCCACTTCACATTACTTGCACCTTTATCAAAGATTAGATGATCATATGATTGAGGGGAGATGTCAGTGTATTCAACCCTGTTCCATTGGTCTACAGTTCTGCCTTTGTTCCAGTACCATGCTGTTTTAATTATTACTGCTTTGTAGTACAGTTTGAAGTTCGGGAGGTTGATTCCTCCCATTTTCTTTTTCCCAAGAATTGCTTTAGCTATTCGTGGGGGCTTATTGTTCCATATAAATTTCAGGAGTGTTTGCTCCATTTCTTTGAAGAATGTCATGGGTGTCCTTATAGGGATTGCATTGAATTTATACAATGCTTTCGGTAGTATTGCCATTTTGACAATGTTAAGTCTCCCGACCCGTGAGCAGGGGATATCTTTCCATTTCCTCATGTCCTCTTTTATTTCCTGAAGTAGCGTTTTGTAGTTTTCTTTGTACAGGTCCTTTACTTCCTTAGTTAAGCTGATTCCTAGGTACTTGATTTTCTGGGGCACAATTGTGAACGGGATTGTTTTTTTTCATGTTGCTTTCTTCTCTCTCACTGTTTGCGTATAGGAAAGCCATGGACTTTTGGGTATTGATTTTATAACCTGCAACTTTACTATACGAGTCTATTGTTTCTAGGAGTTTTTTGGTGGAGGTTATTGGGTTCTCTAAGTAGAGTATCATATCATCTGCGAATAGTGAGAGCTTGATTTCTTCCTTTCCTACCTGAATGCCCTTAATATCTTTTTCCTGCCTAATCGCTATTGCAAGTACTTCCAGTACTATATTGAACAGCAGTGGAGAGAGTGGGCATCCCTGAGATAGACAAGCTACTTTTTTAATGTGGTCCATATGAGACTATAAATTCACTTTCCTAATTTTCCTTATTGTCCTACACAAGAAACTCTGAGCAATGTACAACTACCTCTTCCTTTAATTCACCTCCTAATCTGAATCTCTAACCTACGCACTTGCTCGGGTTCTGCACACTCTTCTCTTCCCTCATTTTTAAAGTGTCGTTGCTTCTCTATAATTTCTTAGCCTCCCTAACTCCTTACATATTTTTTCACAGCTCTTGCACACCTGTGATTGATTGTAGACTATGTTACAAGGTGGAAGGAAAAGAAACACGTTTCTTGTCATACTGTGCGCTGAGGCTCTTGACAGTACCTTGTACTATGTTGGCAAATGATACATATTTGTTGTGCTTAAAGGTCGTGAGTGTCACCATGCAGCAGGCCCTGGAGGAAGCACAGAAAAAAAAAACAGTCTTTGACTTGGTCCGCACACCAAACATGCGTAAGAGGATCTGCCTCATAGCCTTTGTGAGGTAGGCATTATGCCAGGACTGAAATATTAGGGGAGTGGAGACATGAATCTATTCATTTCAAGAGTTAAAACAGGGTTGTGAGGGTGAATACTGTTTTGAAAATATAAAGAGAACACCCAAAATAATTGCTCTATTTGGAAAATCCAATTGCCTTTTAAAGGACTCACATAGGGGACTGGAGCAACGGTACATCTGGGAAGGTGCTTTCCTTACATGCAGTTGACCTGGGTTCAATCCTAGGCATCCCATATACTTCTCCAAGCACCACCTGGAGTGATTCCTGAGTGCAGAGCCAAGAGTAACCCTGAGCATTGCTGGCTGTGCCCCCCCCCCAAAAAAAAAACAAAACAAAAATTAAGACTCACATAGAACGGCTTAAAAAGTGAGGCATAGATCAGGTCATATCATGTTCAGTCTCATCACTAAAGACTGATGTTGGGAACTCCCATCACAATAAGGATTTTTGTGTTTCATTGTCTTTATTTTTTTCTTTCAGATTAAATGGAAAAAGCAAATTTTACAAATAATAAATAATATCACAAACAACAAAGGGAAGAGATTCTGAAAATATATACAACTTAGTGAATATTTCAATATGCAACAAATGCAACCAATTCTCAGATCAATATTGAAATATTCTAATTCCCCAGAATCTTCTGTCTCCATTTCCCACCATGGCAGTAATCACCACTAACTCAACCCCACCTCACTGTCTTGTCCCATGACTTATGAATGACTCTGATCTCCATGACCATAGAAAAGAGATGGCATATCTTTTTTTTTAACGTTTACCAGTTGTGAATTTTTTGTCATAACCGGTGTTACTCAGGGGTTACTCCTGACTCTGCACTCAGGAACTCCTGGCAGTGTTCTGGGGACCATATAGGATGCCAAGGATCAATATCGGGTCGGCCGCAGTGCAAGGCAAATGCCGTACCAACTGTGCTCCAACCCAGTTCTGAACATTTTTCATCAGAACAAGAGTTACAAATCATCTAGGAACTATACCTTATTTTTGCTTTTTGGATCTCACCCAGAGATGCTCAGGGGTTACTCCAGGCTCTGCACTCAGGAGTTACTCCTGGCGGTGCTTGGGGAACCATATGGGATGCTGGGAATCGAATCCGGGTCGTCCACGTGCAAGACAAATGCCCTACCCGCTGTGCTATTGCTCCAGCCCCTGGGAACCATACCTTTTAAGACCATATATTATAATACTGATATTTCAAAATTTTAAATGGGAACAGGAAGATTTTTATTGAATTGAAACTGAACACTAGGACAAAAGAGACATCTAAACAATACAAGCATGAGCAAAGCAAGCTTTGCATTTGAGAGTTCCCTGGCAGGATGTTGTGCCTTGAGCAATGCCAGGTACTTGTTAGTAGTAGCCCCTGATCACCACTAACTATGGCAAAAAAATTAAAGCAAAAGACCAATCATATCATTTAGATATATGGAATGTGTTAAAACATGGAAAAATGTAAGAAAAAAAGCAGAAATGTTTAGCCACTCTTGGAAACTAATATTAAAGAAAGTCAAATTCAGTCAATCAGTTGAAAAAGTAGAAATGTTTCCTGGGTTTGAGATATTTCCAGTGAGAAAGCTAAATCAAGGTAATAGTGAGATGTCTAACTAATAGTGCTCTTTGGCACTATTGCGGCAACATGGGAAGATGCTGCCATTGACAATATTGACAAGGAATACGATCGACTGGTTCAGCACCTCAATGATTGTGCGAGGAAGGCCAAGAGAGAGATAGCCACAAAAAAACTGTCTGTCTTCAAAAACTCTTGAGCTTATTCACCAACATGGCTTGGCGCATGCCTCAGGCAACCACAAGCGAATGTCCGAGCTAGCAAAGCAGTGCAGAGAAGCAATAAAGGAAGACCTCAAAGAGAGAAGAGCAGCAGTCCTGGTAGATATGGCAGAAGCCTGGAAAAGTATTCGCAATGCCCACCTGTCCTTCGCCAACTACAAAACCAAGATGACTGCCCTCCGACATCCTGATGGATCTATCACATCTTACAGAAGGGCAATGGAGAAGATTATTCATGACTTCTACTCGATCTCTCTGATAGCTACGTCCACCTGCCCACATATAAATTTCGCAGGAGAGATATGTCGTTCACAATGATCTCCCTTCTGAAATCCAACATGCCATTTCATCGGTAAAGAAACAAACAGCACCTGACCCAGACAAGGTCAGACCTGAACACCTGAAGAACCTGCCATTAGTACTCATCAATACACTGGCTCGACTTTTCACACGCTACCTGTCTGAAGGCAAGGTTCTGTCCCAGTGGAAAACCAGTAGGACTGTACTACTGTACAAGAAGGGAGACATCAACAACTTTGGCAACTATCGCCCGATCTGCCTATTGTCTGTCATCTAAAAGCTATTCATTCAAGTCATCCTGAATAGTATTGGCAGAACACTAGATGAAGGACAACCAGGTGAACAAGTCGGGTTCTGCAAAGGATTCAGCCCAATCGACCATATCCACATGATAACCAAGCTCATTGAAGTTTCTCGGGAGTTCAAGATGCTGCTCTGTCTAATGTTCTTTGATTTAAAGAAGGTCTTTGATTCTGTTGAGACGGAAGCAGTCATCGAAGCCCTAGCCAATCAGGGCATTCAAACTCAATACATCAGGATCCTCTGTGAGCTGTATTACGGATTCACTACCAGGATCTCACCATTCTACAAAGAAGTGATCATCCATGTCAAGAGAGAGGTTCAGCAGGGTGATACCATTTCACCAAAACTCTTCAGTGCCACCCTCAAGAACATCATGCGACAACTGGAATGGGAAGGAATGGGAGTGAAGATAGACGGTTGGCAATGACACCACCTCCGCTCTGCTGATGACATCGTTCTAATAACACCAAACATTAGCCAAGCGGCACAAATGCTGGCCAACTTTGACTGTGAGTGTGAAAAGGTCAGACTCCAGCTGAATCTCATGAAGAAAATGTTTATGAGAAACAGTCTCATTTCTGATGTTCCATTTGCTCTCAATGGAACAACCATCTCCGAATGCAACAGTTATATGTACCTAGGTCGAGAAGTCAACATGACGAATGACCTGGCACCTGAGTTGAACAGGAGGAAGAGAGCGCCTTGGAAAGCCTTCAAGAGCATCGAAGAAATAGCTAAGAGGATGAAGAACCTCCGGCTCCAGGCACATCTCTTCAATTCCGCTATTCTTCCTGCATTGACATACTCCTCAGAGACCTGGGCCCTACGAAAGCAAGGTGAGAATGCTCTTCGGGTCTCCCAAAGAGGAATCAAAAGACCTATGCTTGGAGTATCATGCTTCACTCAAATGAGAGAAAGAATCTGGAGTTCCAACCTCCATCGATGGTCAAGAATCAGGGACGCTGTCTCATTTGCCAAGGCGTTGAAAATCAGATGGGCTGGACACCTAATGAGATTTGAAGATGACCACTGGACTAGAGCTGTTAGACTTTATTCCACGGGACGTCAAAAGATCCCATGGCCGCCCACCTACAAGATGGTCAGACTTCTTCGTGAAGACCCTGAATGATCAGTTTTAGGCTCTTCATGCTCCTAGAACAAGCAGACGCCATTGGGCTACAGTAGCACATGACAGGGACAAATGAAGACTTACTGGCACCCACTCGAGCAAATCGATGAGTAACAGGATGTCAAGTGATCAAGTGATCAAGTGAGATGTCTGATCTTGACCTTCATATAACATAAGTGATAAAATGATTCTGTGGAAAATTCTTTTCCTTAAGATTGTTCATAGACAATTTTTCCATTTTGCTCCATTTAATCTACTATGCTATAGTCTTTAACACTGTTTGAGCCATGGCACCTATCTTTTTAGACACAGACTTTAAATCTTCTGATATACATACTTCTCTTATTCTCCACAGATCTTCTGCCATCTTATCATATTATGGCATTATAGTCAATCTACAGCACTTTGGGAACAACATTTTCCTGTTCCAGACACTATTTGGAATTATCAGTACCTCCGCTCGATTTCTTGGATTTTTTGTAGTGCGTAAAACAGGCCATCGATCAAACCAAATGTTTCTCTATTTCCTGGTGGGAATTTTCATTTTTACCACCAGTCTTGTGCCACAAGGTAAGAGAAGATTTTTAAGAAAAGTCTTTCCCTTATTCTTCAGGAATTATGTTATTTGCACTAGTCTGAAGCCAGAAGTAAAGAACAGTGCCAAATAAGGAGGAAATATTCCCCCCAAAACCAAACTATTTAGAACAAATTTTCCTAATAAGTTGTTGGTGAAAGAGCCAAGAATCAGCAGGGGGAAGGTTAGCACTATATTTCTCTTGATTGTATCCTGGATGTAGCTGGAAAGTGGTGCCATTTTTTTCTGGACAGTTTCTCTAGAACAGTAAGTAAAGTAAAATAAGTAAAGGCCCTCCCATTGATCATCGATTTGCTCGAGCGGGCCCAGTAACGTCTCCATTGGAGACTTTGTTGTTACTGTGTCTGGCATATCGAATACTCTCGATAGCTTGCCGGGCTCTCCGAGAGGTTCAGAGGAATCGAACTCGGGTCGGCCATGTTGGCTGCGTGCAAGGCAGACACCCTACCCACTGTGCTATCGCTCCAGCCCTAGAACAGTAATTGATCACTTTTCCCCTCTAGCCCTTTATATACTCTTTATAGCAATCATGGAGCCTAGACCTTATAATCATACCCAATGTTAGGTCACTTGTTTTTTTCCAGGCTTTTTCTTACCAGTTTTGATAACTAGACTCCTTCCCAGTCTCCATGTACCTCCACATGTAAGCATGCTTTTAAGTCACTGTGACTGAAGCCCTCACTTCTAAGAAACTTCTTGGTTTCCAGGGCCCAAAATCAACACTCATTTCAAGTATCAAAAGTATCAAAATGTGGGGCTGGAGAGATAGCACGGCGGGTAGGGCATTTGCCTTACACGCAGCCGACCCAGGTTCGATTCCCAGCATCCCATATGGTCCCCTGAGCACTGCCAGGAGTGATTTCTGAGTGCAGAGCCAGGAGTAACCCCTGTGCATCACCGGGTGTGACCCAAAAAGCAAAATAAATAAATAAATAAATAATAAAGATGCTCTTTTAAAAAAAAGTATCAAAATGTTTTGTGTAGGGATAAGAATTCAAGCAGCTCAATGACTATTCCTTATGATTGTTTTATAAATTAAAAAATAATGGTGATATACAGTAATTAGAAGAACCTCAATGGGCACATTGCTTCCCAAAGCAGATTTTTAAAATAATATTATACATTAATCTGTGATGTAATGTCTTAATGAAGATTTATTTCTTTGCTACTGTTTTTATCTTATACAGCCAGTTGGTATGTAAAAGCATGTGTATTGACACTTGTTAGTAGGGAAAAAAACACTCTCTCATCCTGTTGCTCATCAATTTGCTCGAGCGGGCCCAGTAACGTCTCCATTTTGAAACTTGTTACTGTGTTTGGCATATAGAATACGTGGTGAGTAGCTTCTCAGGCTTTGCTGTGCAGGCGAGATACTCTCGGTAGCTTGCCAGGCTCTCTGAGAGGGGCGGAGGAATCAAACAGGGCTCGGCCGGGCCAGCTATGTGCAAGGCAAATGCCCTACCTCTGTGCTATTGCTCCAGCCCAATTAATAGGGAAAAACAAATCAAAATAACAATGAGATGTCATCTCACACTGGTAAGAATGGCATATATCACAAAGGGGAGGGGGTGGAGCAATAGTCTAGCAGGTAGAGCATTTGTCTTGCACACAGCCTACCCTGGTTTGGCCCGCAGCATCCCATACCCCAATGTTACTTACCCCAAGCACAGCCAGGAATAATTTCTGACTGCAGGGCCAGGAGCAACCCCTGAGCTTTGCCGGGTGTGACCCCCCCCCAAAAAAAGCTGAGGGGCCAGAGAAATAGTAAAATAGTTAAGGCTCTTGCTTTGCATGCAGCTGACCCAAGTTTGACTCTTCAGTACCACCAATGGTTACTCCTGAACAGAGAGACAAGACTAACCTCTGAGCACTGTTGGGTGTTTTTCACTCCCACCTACAAAGAGACTTGAAACAATTAGTATTGGTGAGGATGTGATGGTTTCACAATCTTTTCTAGTTTTGTCTAATTTTCTAAGTTTGTTTAATTTTCCTCTGGAAAACAGTATGGAAATTTCTCCCAAAAAGACAGACTAGAGTTTCCATATGATCTGTAATTCTATTTCTTGGCAACTACTCCCAAACACAAAAACATTCATGGAAAAAAAAAACATGCACACCTTTGTTGATTTCAGTACTTAGTACATTAACCAAGATGTGGACAACCCAAATAAAAGTCCAACAGCAACTGAGTAGGTAAAGAAGTTGCAGTATGTAAACACGATGGAATGTTATGCAGCCATGAGTAAAAACCTTGAGCTGGACTGTTAGGACAGCTAAGGAGGTGCTAGCCACCCCGGGTGCAATCCCAGGCATCCCACATGGTCTCCTGAGCCTGCCAGAAGAGATCCCTGAGTGCAGAATGTAGAGTAATCTCTGAACATCAACAGGTGTGGCCCAAAGTCAAAATACAAAAGAAATCAAGAAAAGAAAAAACGGGGATTGAGCGATAGCACAGCAGGTAGGGTGTTTGCCTTGCATGCGGCCAACCAGGGTTCGATTCCCAGCATCCCATATGGTTCCCCGAGCACCGCCAGGAGTAATTCCTGAGTGCATGAGCAAGGATTAACCCCTTTGCAATGCCGGGTGTGACCCAAAAACAACAACAAAAAAAGAAATAAAATAGATAAAATGCTGCCATTTATTACAACTTAAATGCAATTAGAGGGCATCCTGTTAAGGGAAGTAAATCAGAGGCAGGACAAATGCTGGATGATCTCCCTCATCTGTGTTATATAGATAATAGAACAACAGAATAAACGTCATCAAGTGATACCAGCTTTTGGCCATGAGTTACAGAACTGAGAATATAAGGGGTAGGGCAGTCTATATGGTGGGAAGTTGGTAATCAGGTGAACTGCAGGTAACAGAAGAATACTGGTACAAGGTCTTGAGCATTTTACTGGTTGTGAGGTGAGGAAGCAGTGCATACCAATTCCGTAAATGCTAATACTATTGACCTAAACTATAAAACTTTTTTCAGGTTTTTTATACAGTCACACCCAGCAATCCTCAGGGGTTACTCTTGGCTCTGCACTCAGGAATCACTCCTGGCAGTGCTTGGAGGGAGATTCTAGGGAATGTTGAGTTTGAACCCACGTTGGTTGCTGACTATAAAGCAATAGCCCTACCCACAGTACTAACTCGCTAAACTATAAAGTAACATATAGATCTATGTATATGTTTTTGTATATTAGACTTATTTGCTAAGAGTGTTATGATTCCCAAATTGTGGCACTTTTCTTCCAATTAGAAGTGTCAATTCTTAGTTTCTAATGCTTAACATTGTTTTTAGGTACAGTATTTCTTCCTTTCCACTAACAAAGTAGTTCAAACCTTTTATTACTCTCTTGAACATACCCAGCCCATAATAATATAATATAAACACCAAATTCACCAAACCTGATTCATTCAGGTTTACCTCAAGCATTCCTGGTTTTACAATTAAAAACTCTACATCATAAAATCCCCCAATTTCTAGGAAAACCAGGTTGATTTATTTTTTTGCTGTTAAGAAATAGAATTTTATTGATATGCTGTGATTTACAAGACAGTTAATGATGGTTTCTCATACACATTATTTCAACAATGACTAATCTCTCTTTAAATTCTACTTTAATTGCCAAGTTTTCAAGTTTTCACTGAGTCTTGGACTCTATCATTTCCTGCATTCCATAAAAAGGAACATGTAGGTACATTGCAGATTAAATAAAAAAAAAACAAATTTGTTCTAGAATTTCCATTCTTCTCTGGCAATGTCACATATACAGATACATTTTTCTCCATTAGGCCAGATAATTTTATTTTTATTATTATTATTATTATTATTGCACAGCAGGTAAGGCGTTTGCCTTGCACACGACCGACCTAGGTTCAATTCCTCCGTCCCTCTCAGAGAACCCGGCAAGCAACCAAGGGTATCCCACCTGCACGGCAGAGCCTGGCAAGCTCCCCGTGGCATATTCAATATGCCAAAAACAGTAACAACAAGTCCCACAATGGAGACGTTACTGGTGCCCGCTCAAGCAAATTGATAAAAAACGGGAGGACAGTGCTACAGTGCTATAGGCCAGATAATTTTATATACTTTTACCATTTGTATCAATAATTCAACATTTCTAAACTTTTTTTTGAGGGCTAGGGACACACCTGGCAGTGCTTAGGGTTTCCTCCTGGCTTTACATTCAAATATCACTTCTGGTGATGCTCAGGCAACAGTACATGGGGCCGTGGATCAAACCTGGACTGGCCAAGTGGAAGATCTGCGCGCTACCCATTGTACTATATCTCTGACCCAACATTTCTCAACTTATTAACCATGCCATGGTTTCTACCACCATACAAAATTTTGGTAGTCAAGTTCAAATAAGCAAATAGCCTATAAAGTAAATTTTCTGATCCAATTTTGTGGATAATGTTTCTTTCAGCCAGATTTCAGTTTCTCTGTCTTTCTTCCTCCAGAAATGCAGGTTCTCCGTGTGACTTTAGCGTGTGTAGCACTAAGTTTAATTAGTGTTGCTTTTAATGAATATGGAGTCCACTTCGTTGAACTCACCCCTACTGTCCTCAGGTAGGAGTTAATGGATGCTCTGCCAGGATCCCAAATAGATTTTTCCGACTGCATGACACTTAGTGTGAAATAAATATAATTAAAATCATGGTCACGGTCCTCCCGTTGTTCATTGATTTGCTCGAGCGGGCCCAGTAACGTCTCCATCATGAGACTTGTTGTTACTGTGTTTGGCATATCAAATACGTCATGGGTAGCTTGCCAGGCTCTGCCGTGCGGGCGAGATACTCTCGGTAGCTTCGAGAGGGGCGAGGGGCATAGGAATCGAACTCGGGTCGGCCATGTTGGCCGCTTGTAAGGCAAACGCCCTACCACTGTGCTATCGTTCCAGCCCATAATTAAAATCAGGTGCTATAAAGGCTATCAATTGCAATAGTAATATTAATAGACTAATAATACTATAGACGTGCTAGTTGCTGAGTCCTTTATGCCAAGCACTTTCTAATCTTGAATGCACTATCTCATCCATCATTTGGATACTCTTCAGGAGTGGTGCAATGGACAACACTTTGTTTTGTTGTCTTTTTTGTTTGTTTGTTTCATCTTTTACATAGTATTTGGACTTTGCTATTCATGTAATAGCCACGTTTCTATGAACATTTTCAGGAACTTGCTATATTTGCACACCAGAACAACATATTTGTTTTAAATGATGAAAATGAATCTTTAAACACTTTGAACCTAACAAAGACCCTAAGACACCATAGAAGAAAAAATATCAAAAACAAATATTCGTTACCAAAGTCCACAACCAAAGTCCATTAAAAAAATGTGCTATACAAAAAATTTGTAAGTCTACAACTGTACCTCATGGTGTCTCAGTAATAAAATTTTTTTAAATGCGCTATATTAACTTATAACCAACACAGAATGAAATACCATCAAGTCCATGTGTGTGTTTTTACCAGATTGTAATGTGTTGTTGTTTACCCTCCAGGGCAAGAGCTTCCATGGTAGACTCAGTATCTTCTCGGTGTGGAGCAGCACTCGCTCCCATCTTGATGACCCTAGAGATGCATCTTCCCATTTTGCCCTGGATCTTCTATAGCATCGCTCCTATCCTTTCTGCTTTTCTTCTTTTCTTCTTACCTGAAACCAAAGATATGCCTTTGCCTGACACCATCGAGGATGTGGAAAAGAAGTGAGTAACCCACTTTCTTTCCTGAGAAGAGCTGTGCAACTTAGGTCTGGGGTGAGGACAAAACACAGAATGGACCTCGTCGGTCACAGGAGAGGCTCACTCTGGAATCCTTCTGTCTCAGGCCATGGAAATTTTAATTATGAAAGTTATAGTGTGTATTCCTTTCCCTCAAGAGAAAACTTCAGGGTACTGGGGACTCAAGTGGTAAGTCATATGTCTTGCATGTGGGAGACCCTAAATTCAATCTCAGACCCAAAACACGGGCCCCTGTGTGTTGCCTAGAGTCCCTGGTGATCTTTAGCAAGACTATGATCTAACTGGCCTCACAAAAATAGGCAGTAATGATAGTATAGTAGTAGGTTGCATTACACACAGCAAACCTGAATTCTAACCCCCACCCCTCATATGATTCCCTGAGTCCCACCAGGAGTGAACCCTCAGAAACTCAGCACAGAACCAGGAGTAATCCCTAAGTACCACTGAGTATGGCCCAAAAACTAAGAGAGAGAGAGAGAAGAGAAATATATTCATAACAATATTTTATGAATCTCAAAAAATGAGGTCCTAGGGCCAGAAGGGTTATATAAGAATTCAATAGCTGATATAGCTCTGTAGCACTGTCCATCGATTTGCTCAAGCGGGTACCAGTAATGTCTTCATTGTGAGACTTGTTGTTACTGTTTTTGGCATATTGAATACACCAAGGGGAGCTTGCCAGGCTCTGCCGTTCAGGTGGGATACTCTCGGTAGCTTGCTGGGCTCTCCAAGAGGGACGGAGAAATCGAACTCAGGTCAGCCACATGCAAGTAAACGCCCTACCCCCTGTGCTATTGCTCCAACCCAATAGCTGATAAAAGAATAATATTAGAAGGATGGAACAGAGTTAAAGACTCTCCGGAAAGATAATAGAATAAACGCGTATTGTTTCAGCTTCATTTTGATATTCAGACATCAGTAAGGAAAGACTGAAGACAAAGAAAAATGTTAAGTGGTAAAAAATTACTTTAAGAGAGAAAAAAAGGAATCATGTTTGCCAAGTTTTCTACAAACACTGCAAACCAAGTGACTTAAACAACAGAAATGAATCATCTCATACTTCTGGAAGACAGCGATTTGTGCTTATGATGCTGGCAGAACTGAAGCTCTCAGAAAGAATCCATTCCAGGGCTCTTTACTGGGGTTCCTTGGGGTAAGATGTCATCACTTCGATATTCAGGTGGCATTCTTTCTGACATACTTCTGTTCCCATATTTAACCAGTCCTTCTGGGTTAGGGCCCATCTTTCTTCAATTACACCTCATGATCACTAATTTTATCCAAAACTTATTTCTTAGTCAGGTAGTTCTGTTAGTGAAAAGCATCACCAATTTGTGGGACTTGCTAATCACCACAAGAAAAGTCATCAACAGGACTCGGGCACACAAGAGAGCACTTACTTTTCTAAGGCAACAGGAGATATTCGAATCTGGAACCTGAACTTTAAGTCCTCCTTCCACTGATACACAAGAATGACGCTCCAGTCCCCAATCTTTATTGCATCCAGGTTCTGTGCCTATATCTCAGCCGTCACATAGTCTCCAGTCTTGGCATTTTCCCTAAGTGTTAGGATTCGCATCTGAGTCAGCAGAAGAAGGAAGAAACTGAGAAGTGGTGCAGTCTGGAAGTCTTTGTTAGCTTCTTGCCTTGGAATCTCATTCTGGGGGGTGCAATTGCTATGAAAGTTGCCACACTGTTCAGAAGGGGTATTTTATATACAGTGCAATCAGTGGCAAAATAAAAGAGTCTGAGTGCTTTGAGAAAACCTTGAGAAAGAGCAGAAGGGATTAAGACATTGTCCTCGGCAATTTATGAAAACATATCTCGTGATGTTTCTGTTCTCATCCTAGAGACTGTCTTGCCAGGATGCAGTCTCAGAGTCAGCCTTGGTTTCCCACCTAGAGCTTGGGAAAAGAAGCGGGGAAGGGTGCAATCGCATCAGTGCCCTGCAGCTTTTGTTGCCCGAAACATTCCCAAAAAGCCCCTGGGAATTTGCTAATTCTCTCTTGGGGGTGTGGGTCACACCTACAGAGTTCTCGAGGCTTACTCCTAGCACTGTGCTCAGGGATTACTACAAGCAGTGCTCAAGGGACCATATGCCAAGCCAAGGATCAAGCCTGGGTCAGATATGCAAGTCAAGCAGCTTATCCCTCTATTAACTCTCCAGTCCCACTGATTCTTAATAGGTTAAAGTATCAGAAGTTTTCGCCATAGCAATCAGGCAAGAAAGAGATATTAAAGGCATCCAGATTGGAAAAGTAGTCAAACTCTCACTATTTGCAAATGACAGATTTGCAAATGACAGAGTTGCAAATGACAGAGTTGCAAAGAAAAATGCAATTTTCTTTAGAAAATTCTAAAAATTACAACAACAACAACAACAAAAGTTCCTGGAAAGAATAGACTTGTACAGTAAAGTAGCAGGCTCCAAAGTCAACATGCAGAAAGCCATGACTTTTCTGTTTGCAAGTAATGAAATAGGAGAGGGAAATTTTAAAACTAATCCATTCACAATTGTGCCTCAGAAAAGTTAAATACCCAGGAATTAGCTTAACTAAAGAAAAGACTTAAACACCACACACACACACACACACACACCCTACAATTAACTACTGAAAGAAATTAAAGAAAAACAAGGAAATGGGAACTCATTTTCCGTTCATGGATTGGAAAGATTAATGTTGTCAAAATGACGATCTTGCCCAAACATAAACAGATTCAGTGAAGTTCCTGTAAAAATATCTTTGACATATTTTAAAGACAAAAATTAAACACTGCTGAATTGTATACAGGGTATAAACTTTCCCAGAATAGCCAATGAAATTCAAGGGAAAAAGACGATAAACGGCTTCTCTTTCCCCAACTTTATACTATACTAGAACTCTGTGGTAATCAAAATTGCAGTGGTATGGCAATAAGAATAGACTCAAACAATGGAATAGAATTGAGAATCCAGACACAGATCCTCGGATATACAGATAGTTAATCTGCAATAACAGAGCAAAAAGCGTGAAATAGAGCAAGGAAAACCTCTTCAACAAATGTTGGGAAAACATGCAAAAAAAGAAAAACAGAAGAAATGAACTCAGAGCCCTTTCTAACACCACGCATAGAAGTCAAATCGAAATGAACTAAAGACCTTGAAATCAGTCCTAAATCCATAGATTATACTGAGGAAAAGATATAGAGGTATCTTCAATGATTCAGTGACATTGAGCAAATAAGTGGAAGAAAAGATAAACGAATGGGACTACATAAAACTAAGAAACTTCTGCCTCACAAAGGACATACTGAACAAACTATGTCCAAAAAAACCTCTCCACAGAACTGAAAAAGAATATTTTCCCACCACTCATCTGATAAAAGGTTGACATCCACGAGCGATAGCACAGCGGGTGGGGCGTTTGCCTTGCACGCGGACAGCCAGGTCGAGCCAGGTTCGACTCCTCTGCCCCTCTTGGAGAGCCCGGCAAGCTACCGAGAGTATCTTGCCCACATAAACGTATTCGATACGCCAAACACAGAAACAAGAAATCTCACAAAGGAGATGTTACTGGGCCTGCTCGAGCAAATCGATGAACAACAGGAGGACAGTGCTACAGTGCAGGATAGATCCAAGATACATAAAACACTGCACTGGTAGAACTTCACAACTTCATAAATAAAATGATAAAAGCAACCAATGCTTTTAAAAAATGGGGGGATTGGTGGGGGACATGAACAGAAATTTTCATAAGAGAGACATAGAGATAAAGGTATGTGAAGAAATACTTGGCATCACTTATTATCAGGGAATGCAAATCAGAATAATGAGATATCATCTCACACCAGTAAAACTGGAATTCATCACAAAGAACAAAAACAAGCAGTGTTGACTTGGACACAGGGAAAAGGGACCTTCAATTATTGCTAGTGGGAATGTCACCTGGTCCAGCCTTTTAGGGAAAAAATATGGACACTTCTCAAAAAACTAGGAACTCAGTGTTCATATGACCCAGCAATTCCACTTTTGGAATCTACACCCCAAGGACTCAAAAACTCTACTTAGAAAAGACATCTGCACTCCTTTGTTCATTGCAGCACTTTTCATAATATCAAAAACCTGAAAACAACCCAAGTTCCCAAGAACTGATGAATGAATAAAAAAAAAAAACTGCGGCTGGAGAGATAGTACAGTGGGTAAGGTGCTTGTCTTGCAGGCAGCTTACTCAGGTTTAATCCTAGGCACCCTACATAGTCACCCAAACCCTACCAAGAGTAAACCCTGAGCACTGCCAGGTGTGACTCAAAAACAAAAATATTTTAAATCCCTTTGATTTTCTGAAGGTGTCATTGGCCAGAGACCTAATGAAATCAAGTGCTGAGAGAAACTTTCAAAACTGCCCTTTTGGGTCTGAATAGATGTTAGGTCCTTACCAGAATCTAAGCTAATCCCTGTCAAAATTCCTGTCAATTTTTTGGTAAGTTTTACTGGATTTTTTAAGCTGATGCAAAAAAGCAGGGATGGGAAGGGACTCTCAAATACATAAATAAAAATGATAAAATTAAAAGTTGACGGCAGGTAAAGCTTGGATTTGAGAAAAATTTATTTTGGCTTCTCTGTTTTAATTTTTCTGTTTTTCTGTTTAAAGACAAACATTAATCTGTCTTTGCTGATTTATTGTTTCTGTTTCTTTTTCAAGCCACAAAAAATCAAGAAAAGAAAATGCAAAAGAGTCCTGCATGAAAGTGACAAAATTTTAAGATCTCATCAAATAACTGGTGAGGAAAATAAAAATCTGAGAGAACAAAACAGGATTTTCCCCATTGTTGTTTACCTACAAATTAGCAAGAAATATATGAGAATGCATCACATTTAAAAGTATGGCTTTGGGTTGCAATTAAATAATTCTTGGGAACATGTAATTCTATGAACAATACTATTGCAAAGTAGTTGAAAAGACGAAGCAAATAATATGAAATAAATCTTCATGGTGGTGGGATTGGTGTTGGAACATTGTATGACCAAAACAACTCTATTATGAACAACTTTGTAAATCACGGTGTCTGAATTTTCAAAATAAAATTTTTTAGAATAAAATAAGATTCAGTTTAATTTTTAAAAATCATATGTTCGCTCAGAACAAGCCTCACACATGAATGAAGTCCCATGGAACGCAGATAATGCAGAACTTTGTGACCTTGGACTCTGGACTCACGGGACCCTGAACAGAGACCCTCTGCCTGCTTCCCCCAGTCTCCAGTGACTCAGGGATCACACTCATAAGCCACACCCTACCAGTACCAGATAATCTCCTCATCGGCCACCCTCCAGGACTCACAGATGTTTGTCCCAGATGGGAGTATAAAAGGAGGCCCCCAGAACCATGCCACCAGACTCCGCACCAGGCTGTGGGGCAGGTGAAAGTCCTCCCCACTCCAAGGGACCCAGCCCAGGCAGCCAATCTCCACTGCCCAACCACCACCATGCTCCAGGCCGCTTTCCAGACTTTGCAGCCGCCCAACACATTATAAGACACTTTCTACCCATTGTCCATAGTTACTACGCCATATCTGATGGGATTCAGACAGTAGGCAACAAATCATGGAGAGAAATATATAAATATATGCCTCTCGGAGAGCCCAGCAAGCTACCGAGAGTATCCCTCCCGCACAGACAAAGCCTGGCAAGCTCCCTGTGGCTTATTTGATATGCCAAACACAATAACGATAACAGGTCTCATTCCCCTGACCCTGAAAGAGCCTCCAGTCGTTGGGGAAAGACAAGTAAGAAGAGGCTGCTAAAATCTCAGGGCTGGGAGAAATAGAGATGTTACTGGGGCCAGCTCAAGTAAATCGACGATCAACGGGATGACAGTGATACAGTGATACAGTGAATCATATATTAGTGGGCATATAATTCAGAAGCAAAGGAAAACCAAGAAATGAGAATGTAACTGACAATAGATGCTGCACCATGTGTCTATCAGACATATACAAAAATCAGAATATAAAGCATTTGCAACCAAAACTCAAAGGAAATTCATAAGCAGATACCAATATAAATACAGTTAACTCATGATCCCTAGAGGTCATATTACTAGTAATTAGATAAATATGCTCCTTGGAGAAACATTCATTGAAATAATAACAACAGAGACATTTCAGTGGTATAATTCTAAGTGCTTATTGCTCTGCAATTTTCTTTTCTTATACCTTAATCAATTAATGCATTTTGTTCAGATAAAAATTATTAGAGAAGTTGAAGGACAAATAACAGGATAAACAATCTTAAAAAGATACAGCCAAATGCTGACCCCCCAAAAAATTAAACCGTATTAAAAAATAAATTAAAATTTGTTGAAATAAAATAGCAATTTAAGATAAGTCTTCTTTAAATACAAACTTGTTTTTTTAAAAAAAAATAATAGAAATCTAGTGTCCCAGAGATAGTGCAGACCTAGAACAGATCTCACCCAGATTCATTTCCCAACACTACGGGGTCCCCTGAGCATGACCAGATGCAGCCTGGGAAGCCCCTCAAGATTCACAAGATATGATCATGGACCCCAACACCCAGACTTTTTGAGCTTGGGAGGCCCCAAAATAGAGAGCAATTTGGACAGTAATTGGAAAAAGTTATACGCAGACCTATATTCATTGAAGTTCTTAGTGCAATGAGATTTGGAAACAGCTCAAATGTCTATCTTTAAAATGGCTAAAGTGGGGCTGGAACAATAGCACAGCGGTAAGGGCATTTGCCTTGCATGTGACCGATCTGGGTTCAATTCCCAGCATCCCATATGGTCCCCCAAACACTGTCAGGAGTAATTCCTGAGTGCAGAACCAGGAGTAACACCTGTGCATCACCAGGTGTGACCCAAAAAACAAACAAACAAAAAAAGAATGGCTAAACAAGTTTTGGTATGCATACCTCTATATTCACTGAGGCTCTTAGTAAAATAACCACATTTTAGAAGCAACTCAGCTGCCCAAGGACAAAAGAGTGGATAATGGAGCTGTGGTTTATAAGCAGTGGAACAGTACTAAGCACAAGGAAAAAGGAAATTAAATCATTTACTGCAACCTGGGCAGAAGTGGAGGATTTTATGTAAGTAAAGTAAGTGAGAAGGACAAGCTCAAACACTAGCCAAACACTAATCTGTGGTATGTGGCATGTAGAATAATATATCTGGGTAATGACAGGTAGAAAAGGTGGGCAAAACCCTGGTTTTAGATGACAGAAACAAAAAAAAGTCAAGGAAAGAGAGAAACTCAGCAGGGAAGCAAGCAGAGCAGGACTGGAAATAACATAGGGGTGAGGGTCAGGAGCCTTGAGCCCCTCTATGGTATAGATCATAGGCCACTAGATCCAACACTACTATATCACGGAACCCAAAATACATCAGTTGAACTTAAAACTGCACCTGTCAAGGATTCAGGTTGACGGGTAGAGGTAGGAATCTGGGGCAAACGGTGGAAGGACAGGATCACCCATCTTACAAGCAGCAGCCTGGGGTTCTATCTCTAGTACCATAGATGGTCCCCCAAGAATCCCCAAGAATAAACCCTGAGAATAGAGTCAGGCATTAGCCCTTAGAAGAGCAGGGAGTTGTTCAAAAACCCCCAAAGTTAACTAAATAAGTTATATGCACCCTTACGCTCATTGCAGTGCTATTTACAACAGCCAACATATAAATATAACCTAACTGTCCATCTATGGGTGATTGGATACAAAAGTTGTAGTATGATTCAACTATAAAAAGAAGATGAGACCTTGACATTTTCATCAATTTAGGTGGAACTGGAAGAAGTCATACTAAGAAAAATAAGTTACAAGGAGAAAGACAAATACTGGATGATCTCACTGATGTATAGAATCATCTACAAAGAGAAGGAACAGGCAAAGTCAAAACAAAGCCAACCCTTGCACTCTGACTATAAAACTGAGGTTACCAGAGTGAGATGGGAACAAAAGTGGAGCATCCAGTGGTCTGCAAGAGAGGGTTACTGGAGCTTGTGTAGTCGCCAAAGTGTGACCACGTACATCTCATATATTTTGCAGAGGTAAAATTTATACCCCTAGGATACATCGCTTTGTAAATTATTGTTACCTCAACATAAATATTAGGAAGTATCAATTTGTGCTCCTAAGGAATCTATATTTCTTTAAATCAATTTTCCATCAAAAATAAGAAAAAACAAATTGTCATATGTACACACACACAATGCAACACTATTTCATCATTCATTCATTCATCATCCTGTTATTCGTCGATTGCCTTGAGCAGGCCCCAGTAACGTCTCTTTCATCCTAGCCCTGAGATTATATTCAAGGCTCTTTAGGAGAATGAGACCCATCATTGTTACTGGTATTTGGCATATTTGGTACGCCACGGGGAGTTTGCCAGACTCTGCCCTGTGGGCAGGCTACATTCGATAGCCTGCAAGTTTGTCCAAAGTAGGAATGAGATAATAAGATGTCATAAAAAGATGTCCTGATAAGATGTCCCGCGGCCGCGAATGCGGCCACGCGGTTCCGGGAGCTGGATTTTATAGTCTCTGAGTCTTGGCTGTTGATGGGATTACATGGCGCCAGGGAGCCAGGTGGTGGGTGTGACCCCCGCCTACTGGAATTTGGAGGATCTGGGTGGAGGATGCTCGACTCCAATCCGAGTAGGCTTGGAGGTCTCGGCCCCGGAACCTGCATGGCTTTGTCCCTCTGCCAGTACCTTCATGTGTGCGGAGAGTGGTCTCAGAATGGTGGTGGCTGGTCCTGGAGGTCTTCGGCTGCCGGAGCCCTGGTCGGGGCAGGGAGGAAAGCTCAACCCGCCCCCCTCCAAGGGGCCCCAGCGAGGAATAGCCAGGCGTGGGGGCAGGAGACTGCACTGGTCTCGTCCGGGAGCTGGATTTTATAGTCTCTGAGTCTTGGCCGTTGATGGGATTACACGGCGCCAGGGGGCCAGGTGGTGGGTGTGACCCCCGCCTACTGGAATTTGGAACACTATTTAGTCAAAGAAAAGTAATGAAATAGTGTTATTTGTGACAATATAGGTAAGTGTTGGGGGCTTTATCTCAAACAATAAATCAAAAAATAAAGATAAATATTATACCATGTTATAAACATTGGGCTGGAGCGATAGTACAGTGGGTAGGGCGTTTGCCTTGCATGCAGCCAACATGGCCAATGTGAGTTCGATTCCTCTGCCCCTCTCGGAGGGCCCGGCAAGTTACTGAGAGTATCTCGCCCGCACGACAGAGCCTGGCAAGCTACCGGTGATGTATTCGATATGCCAAACACAGTAACAACAAAGTCTCCAATGGAGACAATACTAGGCCCGCTCAAGTAAATCGATAAACAGCGGGAGGACCGTGATACCATGATACCGTTACAAATATTGTATTATCTTACATCTAAAGAACAAACAAAGCAAACTTATTGATACAAAGAATAGAGGGGTGGCTGCTAGAGATTTGGCATGAGAAGTGGGGGGAAATGGGTGAAGGAAGTCAAATGTATCAAATTCCTTTGACCTTTGATAAGTCACAGATTCTTAAAATAAGTCACAGCATGTACAGTGTGAGGTTACACATCTGACAGTTGCTTAGAGAGCAATCTTACAGTCTTCAGAAGAAAATCATTTTCTGGGATAGTACAGAGAGAGGGGGAGAAAGAGAGGAGAGAGAAGAGAGAAAGGAGAGAGGAGAGAGAGGAGAGGAGATAAAAGAGAGGAGATAGTGAAGAGAGAGGAGAAAAGATAGAGAGGGAGAAGAGATAGGAGAGAGGATAGAGAAGAGAGAGGCTAGAGGAAGAGGAGACAGAGGAGAGGATAGAGAGGGAGGAGAGAGGAGAGGAGAAAGAGAGAAGAAAGAGGGAAGAGAAAGAGAACAGCAGGTAAGATTCATACCTTAAATGCAGCCAATCCGGATTCAATCCCCTGCACCACATATGGTTCCCTGAAGCCCTCTCAGGAGTGATCCCTGAGTCTATCCGCGTGTGACCTCAAAACCAAAAGATAAACAAAAAATAACTTCGTAACTGCAGATAGGAACAAAAATTAA